GCTACGTCGCTACTTGATCAAAACAATAACGTCACTACAGGAAAGTTACTTGATAAATAAAGCATTCACGCTACAGTGAAGCTACTGGAAAATGTAGTTAAACTAAAAGCTTCGCTACATGTAGCGGCGCTACTGCCCATCACTGAGTATTTGTTTTTATGAGAGAAAATTATTGATGGACAGGTTTTCATCATGTATTACTTATATTATATTCAGAAAATTATCATATGCTCTATCGACATTATCTTCTTGCAAAACAGACTCACAGTTAAGTGCATTTTTGAAAGATTTGAGGGATTCATGTTGTCTCACTTCTTTAAACTGTGAATTGATTTTTTCGTTATTTTTTATATAGGAATTTTCACTGACAACAAAGACTGGCAAATGATCACTAATATGCTGAACTATTAATTCAAGTTATATGTTGTTATCTAAGATATATGTAACTATATTATTTATTAATGTAGCACTGTTAAGTGTGATCTGCTAGGTCTAGTGATTTTAGGAAAAAGGCTCAAACTGTACAAGGTTTTAATGAACTGTTCAGTAGGTTTATGGTTATTTAAGTGAAGTAGATCTATATTAAAGTCCCCACAGATGAAGAACACCTTCTGAGATGTAACTCTGTATCTTTGCTTAAACCATTCTCTAAATATTTCCATATTGGACCCAGGATCTCTGTACGTACAGCTAACAAAGACATGTTTTGACATAAATGTTTCAACTTAAACACTCAAATGCTTTTTTGTAATTCTGGCTATGTTTTCTAATATTTTCTACTTTAAGTTTTTGTCACCATATGCAACTACACCTCCCACACTTTTCCCCTTTCTAATGATGTAATTGAACTCATATCAATCCAGCTCAAAATCTGCTCCTTTCTAATGAGTGATCAATGTTTCAGAGATGGTTATGATGCTGAATGGCTGTTTAAACTCATTAAGACAGTCTTTTATGTTGTTGAAGTTTCCACATAAACTTCTGCTGCTGAAATGTATGATAGAAAATTCATTATCTACTTGAACTGCGCTACTGAACTGATCAGTTGTGTGTAGTAGCAGCAGTTATCAAGAATGTAATAGAAGAAGTTCCAAAGAAGGAAATAACAGAGAACCCAAATGACCCCCACTCGTATGGGGCGGCCCTGTTCTTCTGGTTAAATTTGCATGTTTTCTAAGCCAAAACCAGGCTTTGTTTTTGATCGCCTGTCTTCAGTGGAGGTTGAGGAACTGTTACTTAAGTCCCAACATGCACAATATGAGTATGAGACTGGATTCCCCCACCCTCTTTTGCAAGCATCTATAAGAAAAAGATCCACCTTCGTGCAGCTTTTACCGCCCTATTTCACTACTAAATATTGACTATAAAATCTTAGCTAAGCTATTTGATTGGATGTTTTCTTACCATCAATAATCCATTTAGACTAGAAAGGGTTTATCTGGCATTTATTTAATGTTATGTATAATTCTTCCAAGTCAAGAGACCCAGAGCTTGTGATTAGTTTAGATGCTGAAAAAGAATTTGACAGAGTTGAGTGGGCATATCTTTTTTGTGTGTTGGAAAAATTTGGCTTTGGCTGACTTTTTAATTCTTGGATTAAGCTCCTATACACCTCGCCACTCACCTATGTTAAAATAAATGGTATTCATTCTGAGTATTTTCCACTTTTAAGAGGCACAAGGCAGAGATAACCCATGTCTCCCTTGCTCTTTGCCATGGAAATAACACCTCTCCACATCGCATTTAGATCTCACAACTGTGTTTTTGGGGTTGTGAGAAATGACTTTGAGCTGAGGGTCAGTCTTTATGCAGAAAATTTCAGTTCCAGCTGTGCCATCCATCCTAACACAATTTAGTGGCATTTCTGGTTATAAGCTGATTCTTGGCTAAAGTGAGCTTTTTCTTCTGAATTGTGCTGAACATCAACACCCTCTCACTGCATTACCATTTAAACTAGTCTCAGACCCTTTTACGTATTTAGGTTAGATTGAAGGTGACTGGTAAATTTTGTGACCTCTTTAAAAATTCAGCTCTCAAACCCCCCCACACATCATTGCTTTTTAATTATCATCAGAGCTAATTATCAATCTATCATTAATATATGGTTTACAATGAAACCAGGAATATTTGGATGCACTTTAAACTAGAGCTACTGTGGGGAAACTTAGATTTCTGGGCATCACACTTTAACTTTAAGTACATAATTAGACTGAGACTGAATTCAGGGTTTTTCCTTCAGGATCCAACAGAACCTTAAACCAGAACCCAGCTGTGTTTCCTTTAAGAGTGACTGGTCAAAGGAGGAATATATCGATTTTAAATCAGACCAACCGTCAGCTACAAAGAGGTGAGCTCTGTCTAAATGTTTTAACTGTTTGAAAATGAACCAACTCAGTTTAAAATGTTCTGATTCCACATCTTATTCCTTTTAATGAAACATTTAGATTTTTCTGGATGTTTTTTCCACTACTTTAGTCTCCAGTGAGGGTAAACATTGTTGGAGGTGTTTCTTAGTGTCTGTAGTCCACCTATTGGTCCAGTAGGGGTCAGGCAGATTTCAGCTGACACCAGTGGCAGAATAATGTTCTCAGTTCAGACTCTAGAGGATTGTTTTGTTCCTGAATGTGTGCTCCTGTTGTTGTTTTTTTTTTTCTTCTTCTCGTTTAATTTTAATTTATATGTTGAATCAGACAACTTTTAAATCGAAGAATTAAAGGAGGTGAATAATCCAAGATATATGAACAAATGTTTAACAAACATATTTAATGGCACTGAAAATAAATAGAAATTAACTAACAAAAGGTTTTGACATAGGAAACTATTGATCTAACAAAGACAAGTTTTAAATTAAATTCAAATGTCCTAAACTGAAGCTCTGTTGAACATTCTGCTTCATGTTAATGGATCTTTCTCAGCAAATGGAACAACTGAACTGATACTATATTGCTTTGAAAAACAAAATTGGCCATGTTCTTACACAGTTACCATGGCAACATAAACTCTGATCAGGAGCTTCCTGTCTGTCTGCCAATTTATAGTTATTGAGCAGGACACTACAAGGCCATTGATCTCATTATGTGTGAGTGGTTCTACAGAATGTGGGTTAATGTTTCCTGGTTCCTCCACAGAGTGAACCAGCAGAACTCAGAGGTTTCCAGTGGTCCATCTTCCCAGCAGCTTCAAACCCAGCTGGAATCCATATTTATGGTCTGTACATGTACTACAACTACTTGTCTATGGCTTCTATTCACAGTCATCTCCACCCTGCACTTTGTAGACCAGAGGACTGTTAGTCTGTTTAACATGGATCTGATGTTTGGCTCTGTGATCTCAGTCTAATGTGTCCTATAATTTCTTTCTCCATTCAGCTGCTGGAGGAAAACATTGTTTGTTTTGTGAAGAACGAGCTGAAGAAGATCCAGAAGGTTCTGAGTCCAGATCACCCAGAAGGCTCAAAGAGTCAGTGGGAGGATACGAGGTTGATGGAGGGTGAGGATGAAGAGCAGAGGAGGGGCAGCAGAGAGGCTTTGGTGAAGATCACTCTGAACTTCCTTAGGAGGATGAAGCAGGAGGAGCTGGCTGACTGTTTGCTTATCAGTAAGAGGATTTCTAAAATGATTAAACCTGATGGATAAATGATTAATTTGTTCCAGTCAGAAGATCAGAATGAACAGATGGTCTACTAATAGGAATCGTTTCTAGGCTAATGATATTCTTTCTTCCTTCAGAGCATTTATCCTCAGTTCGTCAACATAAACTTAAATCCAGTCTGAAGAAGAGGTTCCAGTCTGTGTTTGAGGGAATCGCTAAGGCAGGGAGTCCAACCCTTCTGAACCAGATCTATACAGAGCTCTACATCACAGAGGGAGGGACTGGGGGGGTCAATGATGAACATGAGGTCAGACAGATTGAAACAGTATCCAGAAAACCACACAGACCAGAAACAACAATCAGACAAGAAGACATATTTAATGTCCCACCTGGAAGAGATCAACCAATCAGAACAGTGATGACAAAGGGAGTGGCTGGCATTGGGAAAACAGTCTTAACAAAGAAGTTCACTCTGGACTGGGCTGAAGGCAAAGCCCACCAGAACATCCAGTTCATATTTCCATTCACCTTCAGAGAGCTGAATGTGTTGAAAGAGAAAAAGTTCAGCTTGGTGGAACTTGTTCATCATTTCTTCACTGAAACCAAAGAAATCTGCAGCTTTGATCACTTCCAGGTTCTGTTCATCTTTGATGGTCTGGATGAGAGTCGAATTCCTCTGGACTTCCAGAACAAGGAGATCCTGACTGATGTTACAGAGTCCACCTCAGTGGATGTTCTGCTGACTAACCTCATCAGGGGGAAACTGCTTCCCTCTGCTCTCCTCTGGATAACCACACGACCTGCAGCAGCCAATCAGATCCCTCCTGAGTGTGTTAGCATGGTGACAGAGGTAAGAGGGTTCAATGACCTACAGAAGGAGGAGTACTTCAGGAAGAGATTCAGAGATAAGGTGCAGGCCAGCAGGATTATCTCCCACATCAACAGATCTAGAAGCATCCAGATAATGTGCCACGTTCCAGTCTTCTGCTGGATCACTGCTACAGTTCTGGAGGATGTGTTGGAGACAAGAGAGGGAGTGGAGCTGCCCAACACCCTGACTGAGATGTACATCCACTTCCTGGTGGTTCAGACCAAAGTGAAGAAGATCAAGTATGATGGAGGAGCTGAAACAGATCCACACTGGAGTCCAGAGAGCAGGAAGATGGTTGAGTGTCTGGGAAAACTGGCTTTTGATCAGCTGCAGAAAGGAAACCTGATCTTCTATGAATCAGACCTGACAGAGTGTGGCATCGATATCAGAGCAGCCTCAGTTTACTCAGGAGTGTTCACACAGATCTTTAAAGAGGAGAGAGGGCTGTACCAGAACCACGAGAAGGTGTTCTGCTTCGTCCACCTGAGTGTTCAAGAATTTCTGGCTGCTCTTCATGTCCATCGAAACTTCATCAAGGATGGAGTCAATCTGATGGAAGAACAACAAAACATTTCTATTGAGTCCAAATTATGTAAGACAGTAAAACTAACAAATCTCCATAAGAGAGCTGTGGAGAAGGCCTTACAGAGTCCAATTGGACACCTGGACTTGTTCCTCCGTTTCCTCCTGGGTCTTTCACTGCAGACCAATCAGACCCTCCTACAAGGTCTGTTAACAAAGACAGGAAATAGCTCACTGACCAATCAGGAAACACTTCAATACATAAAGGAGAAGATCAATGAGGGTCTGTCTGCAGAGAAAAGCATCAACCTGTTCCACTGTCTTAATGAACTGAATGATCGTTCTCTGGTCCAAGAGATCCAACAGTCTCTGAGATCAGGAAGTCTCTCCACAGATAAACTGTCTCCTGCTCATTGGTCAGCTCTTGCCTTCATCTTAGTGACATCAGGAGAAGATCTGGATGTGTTTGACTTGAAGAAATACTCTGCTTCAGAGGAGGCTCTTCTAAGGCTGCTGCCAGTGGTCAAAGCTTCAAACAAAGTCCTGTAAGTACTAACATAATTTTGGTTCTTACACCAAGTACAAGAACCAGGAAAGCGTGACTATTATCCTGATCAAAATAATGTTTAGCTATTATTTCATGACTAATATTGATTTACAGACTAAAAATGATCTAAAAGAACTCAATACGATTATTTTATCTGTCACAAAATTATGTCATTATTATCAAAGGGGAAGGAAGCACAGCAAATACCACACTAATAATCATAAAATTCTGTGCTGATATAAAGCTAAGCTTCAAGATCATATCCAAAGTATATCATGAATCCAGGGACTTTCAGTTACATTCTTATTCATGACTTTAACAACTTCATCATTATATTATACTAACTTTAATGGGACACTTATCCAGCAAATTGTGATTTATAGATAATCTTTATACCTCTATTATTTCAAGTACAAGTGTTGCTTGTTGAGAATCTATTGAAATAACTGATGATGTTGTTGAGTTAAAAAAAAATATAAGCGCTGAGAGTTGATATTATAGGAAGAAAACGTTTTATTTTCTCTGCATCAGCGATGTTCTGAGGCTGCAACATTCTCACCCTTCCATAAAAAGGGGACTCTTCAAAGGACAGAGATAACAATTGTTTCCCGTTCACACCAGGACGTGAGAATCCTGACTTCCTTTCAAACCTGCTTCCACTTACAAACAGGCCAAACAAAAATACCATTCCACAAATTCCCCCTTTTGTTCCTTAACGGAACAATTACAAACCAAAAATACAACAGAGTAAAAAACTGTAAATAACATAGAATACATCAACATATAAATGAGTAAAATAATAGCAAAAACAACAAGAATGATCAGGACAAACATCAGTGCTTCAACAGATTCATCCTCCAACAGGGGTTTGGTAGAATCAGATTCTTCATTGTACATTAGGGTGTGCACATCTTGCTGTAATGGGGTTATGGTTGTAGTTATTATTATTTGAATCAAAGCTCTTATGCAGGAATGCAGCAACATCCACAAAGTGTTAATATGGCAGCAAAAACAGCAACAGATAAAAAGACAGATGATACCAGGGTTTTATACTGTCCAAACATAGACATCCAGTTGTCCATGCACAGCTTCAAAACCACTTTGAGTCCAGTTACCTAATTTTTGAACATTATGATGCATTTAATTAATTCATTTTTGTTAATAATTAACCACCGGCAAATTGTTGATTCAAATCCTGTAGCAACCTGATCAACTAGTTTATATTAATCTGGAACACCTCTGGACTGAAACAGATACTGCACAAAAACAGCAACAAACGCAAAAGAAGCCCCATCTCCATGGGAACCCCATCTTTGCTACTTTGGCAGAGATGTTAATTTTACCCAGGACTTCTAAAGAAACAGCGATCAGTTGATTTCTTCACCGACATTGAGACGAGTGGCCAGCGGTGTAGGAAGCGGGGGGGACAGGGGGGACATGTCCCCCCCAATATAAAAGCCAGGTGGATATGTCCCCCCCAAAAAATTGTATCGCAAAATATTAGATTTTGACATTTTTTTTAACTAGCGTGCTTTTATTTTGAAGGCGCAGCATAGCGCTATGTCACTGTACTCCCCCTCCCCTCTCTGAACTGTTGAGTGTTTGAGCACTCAGAAGGGAGGGAAACAGCGACACAGAAGTCAGAAACTTGTGAATGAGGTAAAATGGTCTGTCGGGATGCTGCTATGAATATTGCCTATTTATAACGTGTTGTTTTCAGTTCACTTTTGTTGAGGTATATTACCAACATGGAGCTAAATCAGTGGGCTAAACCATCCCCCTTGTTAGCCGCCTGAAACCCATCCCCCTCCTCTTCCCCACAAAGGAGAACAAAGGATTCCCTCCAAAACAAGAACAAAGAAGACCCGGCCCACTGTGGGAGGCGGCCACCTCAAATGGACCAATCAGCCGAATACTCCAACAGGAAGTTCCACCTTGTCACTCATGGCACAGACAAATCAGCCGATACTTCCACAGGAAGTGCTCCCGTGTCACATATGGTTTAAAAGCCAGAAGCAGACATAATTCTCCCTCTTTTCCGGTGGGTTTTTAACCCGATAGGAGATACTCGTTTCACGTGAAATACCAGAAGAAAGCTGACTGGAAGTAGCTTTTGTTTTCCTGCGTCAAAAGTCACGGATCGCAGTGTTCCATCATGCATAGCGGCTGCACAAACTGGGGTAACAGAAGCCTTTGAAACTGACCGCGGAGTGAGTTTCATTTTCCCCTTTCCTTAGACGAATCGGCTGAGAGGACGCTCTTTTGCGGACCACCTCCTAAAATCCATCCTCTTCAACTCGTGAGCATATCAAGCCCTCTGCTGTAGCATCGAACTGACTGAACTTTCCCGAGTGGCGGACCGGTGGCAGAGAACCCTCTGCGCGGCAGAAACCAAGCCACGGTTGCCTTGGAAATGCCAGCCTTCCACGGACGAGGAAGAATCTCACAGTAAAATTCCTTTCCTTTTTGATGCATTCAAAGTGCTGCTCAGGCGAGAGTCAGGCAAAATCAGGGTTTTGAATTAATGCTGATGTTTTTTTTAATCTGTGCTGATTAAGAGTTTGTTCATTTCCTTCTAAGGGAACAGACTAGGGGCACACAGCTGAGAGACTCTGAAGTCAGTGGACAGAGAACAGAGCCAAATCAGCCACATCCAAAATTCATAGACCCTCAAGCTCTAGCCAACAGACCACATTTCCAAGAAAAGTGGTACAAGGAATTTCCCTGGCTATATTATGATGCATTGAAAGAGAGATAAGTAAGCCACCTTATGTCAAAAATGATTGATGACATATGACCTTATGACCTTATGACCTCAACCCTCTCCCCTTCTGGTCCCCTCCCCCACAAATGATTGATGACTTATGACCTTATGTCCTTACCCCTCCCCCACAAATGATTTATGACCTTAACCCCTCCCCCACAAATAATTCTTTAACAAAGACTTCAAGGCCTTAATGAAAAAATATGGAATTATCCACTTTGCGACAGCCAGCGATCTGAAGGCCTCCGTCATAGAGTGGTTTAATCGTACACTCAAGACAAGAATGTGGCGATATTTCACCGCTAATAACACACGGAGATATCTGGATGTGCTTCAAGATCTTGTAAAAAGCTATAATCACAGCTATCATTCCAGTATAAAAATGACCCCGATGCAGGTTTCCTTTGAAAATAAAGACCAAGTTCTAAGGAATCTTTACGGTCTGAAGGTGGGG